TTTATTGAGGAAGAAAATTTGTTCTGAAACATTAAGGTTTAAAAAAATTTCCTAGCCGGGCTCGGTGGTTCAGCCTGTAATCCCGCGCCTTTAGGAGGCTGAGGTGAGTGGATTGCCTGAGCCCGTGGGTTCGAAACCCGCCTGGGCAGCGAGACCTCATCTCAACAATAAATCAAAAAATCATCCAGGCGTGGTAGCGCATGCCTGTAATTCCGGCTACTTGGAAGGCTGAGGCGGAAGGATCTTGGGAGCCCAGCAGGTCGAGGCTGCGGTGGCCAGGAGCAGCCACTACACTCCAGTCTGGGCGACAGAGTGAGACTCCAACTCAAAAAAAAAAAAAAAAAAATTCTCCTGAGAGAAAACCTAAACATAGAAGCCTCAGATGAGAGGGTTGACCTGAAGATTAAGATCTGAGAGCCTTCATTACATGAGCATCATTGATATCATGAAAGTGATGAACTCTTTCAGCAAATGCATGAAAGTGCAATGAATATTGAGTTAATGAAGACAATTTAAGTATGCAGCTTTTAAAAGGCTGTTGAAGAAAAAGCAGCTGTTGGAGCAAGCAGAGAAGGAAAGGTCAGACAGAAATGGGGAAAATCAGGAAAGTGGACTACACAGAAGTGACAGAGGAGAGAGAGGTGATCGTCTCAGGATGAAAGAATCTACCACAGAGAAGGGACCATCAAGATCTAATAAGATAAGACCTAAATCATACCCATAGGATCTTACAATGGTAATTTATGATGAACTAGTTATAATTAATGTTGAGTTAACCTACATTATTAATAATTTAATTAATTACATTAATTAAATTATTTTTAAGTTAGTTTGACTGATTGCAATTAATTTATAACTCAGATCACTGTTTAGCTAATTTAGTGATTACCAAGTAGACTCAGAAAATGGACACTGGAAGATGGAAGACTGCAGCACAAACAGCAACAAACAATAGGTAAACACATGATTCGGTGACTTTTCTACCCTGTTTCCTAATTTTCTTTCTTACTAATCTAGTACTAATTTCTTCCTAATGATCCTGCTGTCCCAAATAATTCTTGGTATCCATAGAGAAATAATGACGTTGGCTTTAGATTAATTTTAGATTATTCTTACCTAAATTTTAATCTCTCCTCTAAGCATGTAAGTAATTGTTCAACACCAATTGTAATTTTTAAAGAAGCGCACATAAAAGATAAAGATAAGAAGATGCCTTAAGGATATCTCTGGTGCTCACCGTCAGTGTTTGGGTTATCTGACAGTTCAGCAAGTTCCTCTTCTGTGAATGTGATTCCCATATTTTCAAACTATTATGGAGGTTATTCTTTTCAATTTTCCCATCTTAGGAAAGGAACAGTAAAACAACATTTGAAAAAAGTCATATGATAGCAAAATAATAAAAGCGATTTTTAAAAAAGCATTATTATAGCCGGGCCTGGTGGCTCAGCCTGTAATCCCACGCCTTTGGGAAGCTGAGGTGAGTAGATTGCCTGAGCCCGCGGGTTCGAGACCCACCTGGGCAGCGTAGAGCTCATCTCTACAATAAATTAAAAAATCAGCCGGGTGTGGTAGCGCATGCCTGTAATTCCG